CCGCTCCGAGGCACTGCTGCACTCGCTTCGTAGGAGCCGGCGCGTCAAGGCCAACGACCGTGAGCGCAACCGCATGCACAACTTGAACGCAGCGCTTGACGCGCTGCGCAGTGTGCTACCCTCCTTCCCCGACGACACCAAGCTCACCAAGATCGAGACGCTGCGCTTCGCCTACAACTACATCTGGGCTCTGGCCGAGACAGCGACGCCGAGTCCTGGGGCTCCGGTGCTGCCGCCTCCCCATGCGCTGCCTCCTCCTCACCACTCTCTGACCCCAGTAGCCCTGCCACCTCCGAAGACTTCTCCTACAGTCTTGGCGACCCCCTTTTCTCCTTCCCCAGCCTGCCCAAAGACTTGCTCCGCACGACGCCCTGTTTCATCCCTTACCACTAGGCCCTTTTTGGACACCTTTACCTCTCCCTTCCCCCAGGCAACAGGCAGTTGTAGTAGATGGGGCCCCAGCTGCGGCCTCGGGACTCCCAGTCTAGGCAGAGGGAGGAAGCGGGAGCTTTAAAGGGATGGGGGATACCTGAGCCGCTTGTTAGGTCGCTGCACCCTCACCATGGCTTCCCCTTGGTCTGTTTTCTCCAGCCCTCAGCCCGGGGCCCCTCCTGCCCGCCCCTAGACAGCCTTCCCTTTTGCACTTTCTGAACTCCACAAAACCTCCTTTGTGGCAGGCTCAGAGCTGACCCCAGCCACCACTTCAGTGTGATTTAAAAAGGGACAGATCAGCCCCTGAAGACGAGGTGAAAAGTCAATTTTACAATTTGTAGAACTCTAATGAAGAAAAACGAGCATGAAAATTCGGTTTGAGCCGGCTGACAATACAATGAAAAGGCTTAAAAAGGAGAGACAAGGAGTGGGCTTCATGCATTATGGATCCCGACCCCCACCACTGCAGGCTTGGTCTAGGAAGAACCAGAGACTCTTGCCTCGGTAGCTATTCAGGCACTGGGCTGGAGAGTACTTTAATTTATTCAAGATGCTTCATTCATATGAAAATGTATTTTTGTACATAAAGAGTTTATTCTATTATAATGAGCTATCAAAGTTTACATTTTTGTACTGCAGATGTTTCGTGTAAATAAAAACTAAGTCACCAAGTTTCTTGCCTAATGTTGGTGTCTCTCTGGGGCCTTTCTTTCCTTCCCCTGGCCGTTCAACCACTAAAGTGAAACACTATCCCCACCCACTTTCAAATCCTCCAGTCAAAAACAATTAAAAAATAAAATACATCTGATTTCCACCAAAAGTCAGATAAAGACAGACTAGGGAGTTTATGATCCATCATTTCCTTTCACCTAATAAACACAAGGGAGATCTTTCAGGCTCCCCATAAACCAATTAAGACTTTTTAGTGGGGAATTAGTCCGGATACTCAGCTACCTGTAGAGGTAGGGGCGGTGGGAGAGCCTTTCTTTTGAGGAACTCCACATCAGCTGGCTCTGTGTTTCAAAGAGAGGGGGATTAAAAAGATCAATACAGTGTGACCACTGGCTAGGAAGTCCCAGTGACAGGTGGGCCTAGCTTGGGCAAGCAGAAGGGCCCACTCTTATAATAGCCTATTTTGAGGGGGAAATTGACTTGTAAACAATGCCTCCAAATTGTTGTCCATTGAGGCTGGGATCACCCTGGCTGTGAGGTGTGGGATGAATTACGCTGGTGTGGTGTCCCTGGGTGAGGTGTGCAGCTGCCTAAAATTGTGGGCTAGGGTCCTGCACCTCCCCTCCCCCCACACACATGCTGTGCCCACAATGGGGGGCGGGGCATGCAGTGGGCTCAGTCCTGGCTTGCTCAGCCAGTCCTGGGGTAGGGGGGGCAACAGCCAAAGCTTTCATTTGCTGCCAGAGAGATCAGTTGCCCAAACTCAGTAGGGATTTTTCTGGCTGCAGTGTGTTTTTCTGTTGTTCGACAATTAGCAAACAGCACTGGCCAGTATTGGCTTTTGTTTTAAATTTCAGAATGTGGACACTTGCAAAAGATAGTTCTGAAAATGCTGTTGCTGCCTGTTCCCCCAGCGCACAAGTTATCCCACATTAAGACCAAAACTAACCCCACCCTGGGTTGCCCCTTTTCATGAATATAATTATTTAGAGGGAGTAGAAATGAGTATGAAAATAGTATTCTACAGTGTAAGAGAAATCATATCCATTTAGGAAGTGAATAGAAGCAGAGTGCCAGAAGTAAGGCCACGAATAGCATTTTCCCTTGTGGAAGTATTTTCCCACTTCACACACATGTCCTGATGAGTTGGATCCAGATTCATATACTGGGCCCGCAACAGGCATCACTAAGTCCAGCCCCAGGTAAGGAGCCCCCTTTCAGATAAAAATGCTCCTTTTTGGAAGGTTCTGGAAAGTTGGGTACTGCTCTAACTGCCCTCAGTACAGAGACAGAGAGGCTGACAAGAAGAGCTTCAGAAATTATGAGGATTCGGAACATAGTTGCTTCTGCTAAAAACTCCAAAGAAAAAGTGTGTCTCTTGAATGACCCTGCCTGTGGCCCCACTCTATTGTCTGTCTCAGAATTAATTCACTCTCCTAGCTTTGCATTTTCCTATAGCAAAAGACACAAATGGTCTGCATCAGATTCTCTGCTCTCCCGTGCATACGATGCCTGGAAGTAACTATCTCCCAACTTTCTAAGGGCTAAGGCCTAGCCTGTGAGAAGGGCAGATTCCCTATGGAGACTGCTCAACCATGGTGTAGGTATACATGTTTGGGCCAGCGGAAGAGAATGTCCCACTATGTTTATCAGTGTCCAAAATCCTTGGGGAAAGCAGCAGCAAACAAACACTGCAAACATCCCTGGAGCTCATGGCTGCAGTAGTTTTGTCTCATACAACTGCACACAACCAGCCCTGAAACAGAAAACGTTACTAACCCTGGAACTAAAGAAGAGCAAAACATATTCCAAAGTTTGTTGACAAAATAGGCTAACAACTCAAGGTGCAGAGAGCACCTTCTATCTAAGGAAACATCTTTAACAACATGGGTTGCTGGGGACATTCTACCCTTGCTAGTTAATACTGTTCTTCCAAGGAAGCAATATGTATGTGCAGCCCTTGGAGCTCCCAAGTAGAAGAAAGGTGATTAAAGATGCTTATTCTCAGCACAGGGGCCTTTCTTGCTGCAGCAAACTCTTGTTCATCCACTAGCATCTGTGAAGGCAGGCTGGGGTTACTGGAATAATCAATTACAGAGCATAGAACTTCCTGCTGACAGCCATGTTTCACTTCCTCAACAGAATCTTCACTGAGGAATTATCAAGCACTCGGGAAGGTTTATTTAGCCTGATCTCTCTATTTACTTCTGTCCTGGTGTAACACTGTCTTATTTTACACACTGCTTCCAAGTCTTTGGATACCAGGACAGGGAACATTGAGATAGCATAGCAAAATGAAACATTCACTCAGTCTCTCATTTCTTTAATGGTCTTTTTCCCCCCCCATTTACTTAATTGTTTATATATTTTTTTCATTTTCAATTACAGTTGACACATATCATTATATTAGTTTCAGGTATACATACCAGTGACCAAACATTACATAGCTTACTAAGTGATCACCTCAATAAATCCTACCAGCACCTATCCAGCACCATGCCTAGTTATTAGAATACTAGTGGCCCGGTGCATGAAATTCATGCACACTAAGAGGAAATTAATTAGAGAAAATATTTTAATATTGCTATTTGCCCTTTCTCTATAATAGTAGTGTCAGAGATGAAAGAAAATTAGTAAAATGTATATGAAAATCTTCCTCCTGTCAGAGTCTGGGGCACGCTGCGGGACCCAGAGTCAAGTCCCTGCCCACCTGCATGCACCTCAAAATCACGCGAGACCCAGACCTGGCCGGCCCCACCCCCATTGGGTGAAATCCAGACCCAGCAGACCCCACCCCCGTAAAGCCCCGCTGGGCGGGGGGCGCAGTTTCAGGTCCCCCATCAAGCCCTGCCGGGTAGCCCCACCGGGCGGGGGCCATGGCCTGAGGTCCCCCGCCTCGGCCTGGCGCCACGCAACCTCAGGTCCCTGCTGATCGCTCATTATGGCACGTTATGGGAACCCCACTTCCGCTGTGGGCGCAGCCATCTTGTGACAGCACGATGGAGTGAGGGTCAATTTGCATATTACATCTTTATTATATAGGATTATTGACTATATTCCCTATGCTGTACTTTACATCCCCATGACTATTCTATAACAGCCCATTTGTATTTCTTAATCCCTATACCTCAACAAAATCATAACTTTTCTTCTGATAATCAGAGATGTGAGGTCACAAGGCAATTAATTAAGTACAAGAGAGGAGAACCCCTCCAAGAAGAGAGAGAGCATGTGAACTGTTTAACCTTGGGCAAAGCACGAAGAGAGAGCTGGCTGCCATACAAGAAAATAAGAAGAAATTGGCTAAAATCTTAATAAAATCTTAAAAGCCAAATATGTGAACTAGAACATCAGTTTGGAACAGAAGATTCACACCCACTCACAAGCTCTTATCCATGGGCTTTCACAAGAAAGATTAGGCCAGGGCAAAAGACCAGAGGCCATCTCCTCAGTGGTAAAGGTGTCCTGGAGGTGATTGCTGTTGGGAATAGGCACAAGCCCCACTCACTTTCCCAGATACCCTATCATCAAAGCTAAAGCAGTAAGCAGCCACCAAAGAAGGGGCATTATCTATTGCTTTAGGGAAAAATAGAAGCCAAAGCCACCTATTTCTGGTAGAGGGGTAGGAAACTGCCTCAATCTCAGGACAAAGGCAAAGGTCAATTGCTCTTAGAGAAGATAATATAACAAACACCCTCTCTTCTGGGGAAATGGTCAGGATCCTACACCACGAGTAAGCAAGGGTCTGCTACTCCAAAGGGAAAAACAGGAAACTCCTTCCCAAGAACAATCACAGAGATAAGACAGAGTTTGGGAGATGAAGAGCTAGAAATCCTCACCCAGGAAGTCAAGATGCACAGAGCATGCCAAAGACTTATGAACCTATCATTGAGAACAAGCAACATTAGTCTAGTACTAGCGAGAGACAAGAGCACAGCGTGAGATGCCCATCTGAGGCACAGTCAGGAAAGAATGGCTGAAAGCTGAGGGTGAACAGGAACACTGAAAAAAATCCTCTGGCAATACCCTCAATAAAAGTACGTGGTAACAAAAGCTCACTTCTGAAAATATTGGAAGTCTGTGGTGCACTGTAGGTAATAAAAAGAAAACACAAACCAAGCTCAGCTTCTGACTAGATTGACTGACCACTGTCTCTCCATATTAATTGCATGACAACCAAGAGGCATATCTAGACATAAAATTATTTCTTAGTGCCTACTATTCCTACTATTAATGCTGCCCAGCATTAATAAAAAAATTACAAAGTACACAAATAAAAAAAACTCACT